CAATTTTACAAGATACGAGGAAGTACCTACGGATTCTTCGGCGACGAATAAAGAGAAATTTTTGAAAATACCTTGTTCCCTTTCAGGGCCACTGCGTTATCTCCGATCAGCGCCAATGCCATACTCTGTACATCTTGGTTCGATTTTCCGGTGATCGCGAGCATATCTACAACAAATTACAGGTAAATTAAATTTGATTGTCATACATTAAAATTCTGAAAAATCCCGATAAAATCGTTTCACCCTTACCGCCCGACTCTTCATTGTTTTCAAGAGGATCTTTAGGTGCAAAAAGCGGATCAATTGCCCCAAACGTCACGGGAAGGGAGAGTTTTGCTTCCTGTTTTGCTTTCGTTCGCTCCAGAATTCGCTCCATCTGAAACGCATCAAATGAATCGGTCCAACTGCACATATAATAACACAATATTAAATGGATCAAGAAATCTCTCATATTTCTTCTTAACCTCACGATCAGCAATATATGTAAAATCATACTTTTTCCTCAAACGAGCGTTCTCCTTTGGGCGCGGAACTCGGCGGAGCAGGAGGAGGAGGTGGTGGCATCATATGCGTAAGTGGAGGAACACTCGGGGGAAGACTTGTCGGTGGTGGGACACTTGTGGGTGGCACAGGAGCAGCTGGATGGGCGAATCCACCAAATCCTCGATGGAGTGTAGGTGGAGGGACAGGAGGCTGTAAGGGGAGCGATGACACAAGAATAAGAACATCTCACAAGCCTGGATAACAGACACATACCACGCTAGCAGGTGGGACGCTAGGTGGAGGAACTACAGGGTACCCATTCATCGGAGGCGGAGGCACGCCGTAGCCATACTGCATTGGTGGTGCTGCTGGAGCCACTGGAGCAGGGGGCTGAAAATTGAAACATAACACAATCGTTTCACCTGTCACTCCAGTGCATCGAAAAGCTTAAAAATCCACACCGAAAAACCACCCGCATGAAGCAACACACGACAATTACGAAAAGAAAATAAACCAACATTGTAAAGTTGCGGTTTAGCAATGGCGACGGGTGGAGGTGGCACTGCCAATGAAGGAGGTGCTAAGGTAGGATTCACAATTGTTGGTGGAGTCGTCGTGACAACTGGTGATGCCACCGAAAGTGTAGCCATAGATGGTTGCATCAAAGTAGCCGGACTCATTGGACGTGGAGAATTGGATCCGGATCCTTGACTTGTTTTTCCAGCCTGGAAACATATTTTAAGCAGAAATTATTGGAACTTAAACATCACAAGAGCAACACTTATCGATTGTATGACTAATAACTAAACGGACAGAAACTG